TGTGAAATGTCCTTCTCATATCAGTTAATAGAATTATATGAATCATTTTCTTTCTATCAGTTAACTGTATATGATATGTACACTATTGAATCTGCAGATTGAACCTTTGAAATCAATTAAGTCTGAGAATAAGATTGTATTTCATGTTCTGCAGCTCTCACACTCAAATATAGTAAGATCATTCTTCAAAGTGTAAGAAAACTCTTACTCTTGCAGATGATATTAAATATCAGTTATCAGATAATCTTATGTATCAGAGATTCTTCACTCAGCAGACCTCTTTCAATTTTCAGATTATATAATTATTAATATATTATGTAGAAGCTTCTGTGTCTGCTAATACTTTTGCAGTCATCTCTCAATTCTTATTCAAGTACTTCTTATACATTAACATTTCACATCTCAAGGCATTGAGATGAGTGTTTACTTCATCATTCTCACTTATATCTCATTCAGAAGTCTGCTTCTTTTTTACATTTGCAGAGTTCAGAGAGTCATCTAACACAGATATCTCTTTCACTTTAAAGACTTTTCATAGAATATCAGTGAGTGTCTCTGAGCTCACTAATTCTGCTAGTTTTTTAACTTTCTTACTTCTCTTGACTGTGCACACTGAGTGCAATCTTTTATATCATGATTTTGATATCTGCAGTTGAAGCAAGCTTGATGCTCATAATATCAAGATTTTCACTCAGAGAATCTCTTTTTCAGAGAATTCAGCACTTTAACAATGACATTCAGATCTAGATTCATTATGTTCAGATATATAACTTATGTCATAGAAGTCTGATTACTTATTCTCTGCTGAGACATACTTAATTACAGTATTTTCTGTTATAATTAACTTGCTTATTTCTATATAATAAGAATATTGTATGCTTTCTTCACTATGTCTGACTCTGAGATTAAGTATTTTCATTTCACTCTCAACTCAGATGTAAGATCATGAATAAAAATCTGTAAATAGAAAGATATTGAAAGCTCTTCATTTAATATAAGATAGTGTAAACTGAAGTATGTGAAGTATAATATAAGAATATCTACTTATCTACACTCAGTGAAGCATTTATAATACTTATCTTATACATTCACTTTCTCAAAGTTATGCAAGATTTATTTGAAAAACTCATTCTATATTCATAGAAATGAATATCACTCTGAGTCTGTAAGATTCATCTTTTTATCAGTCATTTATAATGACTTTGCTTTTCTGTGTAGAAATGTAACAGATCTTAAGACTTGTTGAAATTTTATTAACTATCTATCTATGAGTTCATATTCAATCTGATAATATAATTGCATCTGACTTAGTCAGCTGATTACAGCATTATTTTTTCAGTTGCTATTAAAACTTGATAACTTCAGCAGATCTTCTGACTTAATATATTTCATACTTGAATTCTCATTCTATGCAGTGATCTCTGATGATGTGTACACTTCTAAAGAGATTATGAACAATCATGATAAGATCTTCAGATTCAGTGTAGTTATCTATCTATGTAAACATTCAATCTTCTACTGCAGGTCTAAGATCTAGTTTTCTCTATTCTTATTAATGATAATGATTATATCAGTGAAGCTCTTCATAGTAAATACTTAATTCACAGTGAATACTAATTATCATTTAACTTCTGTCTCAGTCTGTCACTGTGTATACAAGGTCTTAATCTCATTTAGAATCCTTGTATATATACAGAGCTTCAATTCCAGTTCAGCAGTTTTAACTACTTTTCTTACTGCTTTAAGTAAATTCTCTAAGAGGTTCTGCATATCTTCTGATTCAGATAGCAGAGAAAAGTGTTATTTATATTAGTTAGAAAAGATATTCATTTCAGTGGTTTTTTATTAATTATACAATGTCTATTGTTATATTACTATATTATTATATAATTTCTATTATCATTGTATAACTTCAGTAATAATTACTCTCTTCTTTTTATTCTTCTTTTAAGTGAGAAGCAGACTTTTTTAAATCTGATTTATCACTTTCATTCTCTTTCTCACATCTTATTCATTTGTATACATGGCATTTGCCTGAGTATGAAGTTTTTCCTTAACAAGTGAAGCAGTATCAATCAGATGCTCTTTCACTTATTACTCTTCATACACTATCTTTTGAGATGTTCTAGAATCACACTGATATGATAACTATAAATCACTTCATAGATGAAATTATCACACTCTGAAGAAGTCTGTACTTCTCATCAGTTTTTAGACATACTATCAGATATGATTCAAAGATTGCTTAAGTCAGTGTACAATTACAGATGTACACTGGCTTCTTATATATTGTAATATCATATACTAATATAATTAGCAGCCGCTATGGCCCCTTTACACTCGTACGCGTACACTAGTAGTTCGGAAGCGGCCGCGTACGCTAGTAGTTCGGAAGCGGCCGCGTTATTATCCGACGGTCGTACGTTCTTCCGAACCACAAAATAAGTCTTGAGATGTGAGATAATTGCAGACTACATGTAATTATATAATCAAAGATTGTGTTCTTTTCAGAAACATTGCATGTTTATAGTAATATTCTTATCAAGATTATTATCTTCAAGAATATCATTGATTTCAGACTACTTTACAGTTAAAAGAATTTCCTCTCTTCATATTAAGTAGTTAATAAATTTAGTGAGAACTATTAGTCTTTTAATAAGTCTTACTTAGCTTCTGAATTCTTTAAGAACTTTTATTATAACAGATGTCTTCTCTTTCTATTGAAGATATTCTGTCAGATTCACTCTTATCTTATTACTTATAAGAGTCTCACTTCTACTAATCTTTATTCACTTAATCTCATACTGAAGTCTTGTAATTTCTAGTCTCATGTGAGTCTTCTTACTTACTGAGCTATTATTATTCTGATTATTTAAGCTCTCTGCATTGTCTGATATCTCACTGATATCTTCAACTAAGTCTTTGTATTTATTGTTAAACTTATCAGATTATTCTTTTATAATTGTGTTATTCAGCTTAAACATCTCAGAAGCTATTTTCTAATTTATTATTAATATTAATAGTAATCTGTGATCTTGTATTTACTACTCTGATATTTTCTCATTTCTCTGTCTTGAAGACATGTATTCTTTTATTAAGTCAGATATTCTCTCAGATCTTAGATTAATCATGAGTTTAATCACTTAATAAATCATCTAGACATGCTTGTAACAACATATAAAGATATAGTTAGTATGTTATTTCAGCAGTTTTCATTGCTTATAAAGAGCTTTATAATCTCTTAAAGAATAACATTGTTATGTTATATTATAATCTAACTACGCGAGTTACACTAAATGAATAGATTGAGATAACACGTGACTAGAATAGATGTAGTAATCATTAACAAAGTATGTATACAGAAAACTTGACCTTACTAAGTGTATTACTTAATCTCATTATGTAAGCTAATCTTGCAAATGTGGCCCGTGTCACTATCTGACCTCACTTAATACATCTTTTCTTATAATTTGAAATCACTTAATTATTTACCATCAATTCTACAATCAATTCAAAATCAATTTAAAATCAATTTAAAATTAATTTAATACTGAAATTATTCTTGAATTTAATAATAAAGTAAGTATTTATATAATTTATACTGAATTGATTATTAATTGATTTTCAATCAATTGTTAATTATTTAAATATATAGATTGAATTTATTTTATTACTATAATTAATTAATAATTAATTTAGAATTAATTCAAAATCAATTCAAAATTAATTTAATACTGAAATTATTCTTGAATTTAATAATAAAGTAAGTATTTATATAATTTATACTGAATTAATTATCAACTGATTTTCAATTAATTATTAATTACTTAAATATATAGATTAAATCTATTTTTATTATTATAATCAATTCAGAATCAATTCAGAATTAATTTAAAATCAATTTAAAATCAATTATTAAATATTTTTATCTTAATATATTTTAAAATTCTGTAAAATATCTCTTTATATTCTATATGAATTTATCTATTTATTTAATTAATTATGAATCAGCTATACATACTTTGATTGATTGATGAGCTGAATAAATGAAACTATGAGTGAATTGAAAGATTGAAAGTCAATTATCAACTGATTATTACTGTATTGTACAAGGTCAGAGTCATGATTATATAATGAGGTCAAGTGGCGCACTTAGTGAGGTCAAGTTTTCTGCTTTCTGAGGTCAAGTTTTCTGCTTTCTGAGAGAACTGGAAGAGAGAGAGACATTTGATGAAAGTTGATTAGTTCAGTTTTGTTAGAGTAACTACCATTGCTTATTCAGCACCAACTCAGTACAACTTGAACAAGAGGGGCGGATGTAGGCTACTGGGGCAAAAGAGCTCGATCACCACCAGCGCCTGCTGGTAGAAGGGCCGACCAACCGCGGGACCCTCAACAGCGAAAACGGTCTATCTCACTGCCAGCTTCTATTTGATTAGAGTTGGTTGATGCATAATAGATCTGAAGAGTTCTTCGTTCTGCAATGTACAGAGTACAGAGTATATAAATTTGTAATGTTGTACATCTCTGTATCATCATTCTTCAGAATATCTATAATACTGTTTATTTAAAGAAAGGAGGAAGAAAAACCAGAGAAGAATAAAAGAAGAGAGAATAAAAGATGAAAGATATAGACAAAAAAAATTAATTAAAAAAGAACAAAAAAAAGAATTATTATGTACAGGGGGTTTGGTGGCTATTTATCTGTGATTGTTCCGTTCAGTCTTTTGCTCTTCTTTTTTTATTGCCCAAAGCCGGCCTTGCCCTTCTTTTTTTTTCTTTTTTTTTTTTTTTATATCTCTTGTTCATGTACTCTCCTCCTCCCCACCCATTTTTTTGTGTCAATATTTGCAATTTTGCCTTTCTTCTTCTTCCTTCCTCCAACCAACCCCATCGTTTTCAAAATCTCAAAATTTGCCCCAGGAGTACGCACACACCCCACACACGCACGCACGGATACAACCACAACGGCCAACTCCCACTCTATATATATGGCGTGGAAAAGAAAAGACAAGAACAAAGAAAAAAAAAAAAGGAAAAGAAAAAAAAAGGAACAAGAAAAAAACAAAAAACAAAAAGACAGATATTCCCAAACGGCCTCCTTCCCGATCCCAATCCTCTATGTAATCTGGATAGTGTTTAATATATTATTTTCTTTTGGTTCGGATGGGTGGTGGGTGGTGGGTGAATGGATAGGTCGGACAGGTAGGCTAGGATTTTGGAAATAATTATGTGCTCTTCTCGTGCTGGGTCGAGACGCGTTGGAGTGAAACAACTGTAAAACGGAGGTGGTAACTGCGTTAGCAACAAGTCGCCCCACTTTTTTTGGGAAAAAAAAAATAAAATAAAAAAAAACAAGTAGCAATAAGTGATTCTTACCGAAATCCTCCAGTGAGCGTTGCTTCTGATTCTTCTTAGGGCTCTTCCCATGCATCATATTATCGAAGCCCGTCGAGCCCTGGAGCAGATAGTACAGCCCGCCAAGGACGCAGAAGCACCCGAATGAGAAAATCCAAATACGCACCACGGCGACGATGGACGTCTGTCCGCCCACGAACCAGCCGAAGAGCGTGAAGAAAGTAGCGACTATATCGACGACCAGGATGGCACCAGCCAGTTGCCACGATGGGATCGAGGACCAGAATGGTCCGTTCGCGCGGGTGATGAAGATGAGCCAGTTCTCCGTCAGGGAGATTTGGAGGAAGAGAACCTCGTCGCGCACACCGAAGTTTTGCACGATACCGCCGTTCTCGGAGCCGACGAGCATGGTTGTGAGGGTGATCCAGGTACCGACGGCGAGGACGATGCCGAGAAGGACAGACATACCCCACAACTTGGGCAGGTTCCATTTGACGGGGGTCTTGGAGAAGGGTGCGTTGTCGTAGGCGATGGCGAGCGTGGCGATGTCGGCGAAAATGGCAATGAAGACAACCAGTTCCAGATTCAGGGAGGTGTTGAGAATAGCGATCCAGAGACCCAGGAAGATTTCCAAGTGGAGGGACAGGGCAATACGATAGACAACGTAGGCGTACATGCGGTGGAAAATCTGGCGGGAGGTCTTGAGGGCGTCGATGATGGCAGAGAGACCAGGAGCAAGGAAGACAATATCAGCGGCAGAGCGGGCAGCGTCGGAGGCACCCTCAACGGCGATACCGGTGTCAGCTTTCTTGAGGGAGGGCGCATCGTTGACACCGTCACCCGTCATGGCGACGAGGTAGCCACGTTGTTGCAGAATTTCGACGACGTTATACTTGTGCTGGGGAAAGACTTCTGCAAAACCATCAGCAGCCTCGACGAAATCGTAGACCTCAGAGCCAGGCATGGTTCCTCCGCCACCGAGACCCAGACGCTCAGCATTGTACACGTTGGTTCCGAGACCAAGCTGGCGAGAAGTTTCACGGGCAATACCGACGGCATCACCAGTCAACATCTTGATGGACAAACCGAGAGTCTTGGCCTCGTTGATAGTTTTGGCAGTGTCGTGTCGGGGAGGATCAGAGCAAGGCATGATTCCGAGAATTTCCCAGGATCCCTCACCACGCTTGCGGGCAACACCGAGAGAGCGGAAACCACGGGTAGCGAACTCAGCGACCTTGTTCTTGTAGGCGTTGTCGACTTCCTCGGGGATAGGGTGGTCTTCCTCGACAGTCTTGAGGACGAAAAGCGGAGCGCCCTTGACGCAGGTAATGCGCTCACCTTGGGGGGACATGACGACAGCGCTGACCTTCTTGGAGACGGGATCGAATGGGTGGAATTCGAGCACCTTGTATTGGGTGAGGACGGACTTGGCGCGGGGATAGAAGCGGAGAGATTTGAGGAAAGCCTTGTCAATGGCGTCAATACCCTTCTTCTTGCGGGAGGCAGCCAAGCACGCGGTCAACATGAGATCTTCTGGGTCGACGCCAGCAACGCAGTAGGGATCAGCGAGGGAGAGCTTGTTCTTGGTCAAGGTACCGGTCTTGTCAGAGCAGAGGATTTCTACACCAGCAAGGGACTCAATGGCAGACAGTTTCTGGACAATGGCCTTCTTCTTGGCCAGATAGGCGGCACCGACAGCCATGGTAGTGGTGACGACAGCTGGAAGACCGACGGGGACACCAATGATGGTGATAGCCAGAGTGAACTCGAGGATGGTGACAATGTCGTTGGAGCGGTAGAAAGAGGAGACCCAGACAACCAAGAGGGTAAGAATGACCAAGATGAGCAAAACGGTACCGATACCGTTGAGCACTTCAGTGAAATGACCAGTCCCGGCAGCAGCAGCGTTGACAAGGGCAGCAGCACGACCGACGAAGGTGTTGTCACCGGTAGAGGTGATGACCATAAAGGCCTCTCCGCGCTTGACGGCGGAGGAAGCGTAGCAGGTATCGCCCTTGTGCTTGTCGACGGCCAGCGACTCACCGGTGATGGCGGACTGGTCGACTTGGAGGAAAGCTTCTTCCGTGACAATGCGGCCGTCAGCGGGGATGATGGTACCCTCCTCGACCTGGAGAATATCACCAGGGACGACCTCTGGAGCTTCGATTTCAGCCAGACGGCCATTGCGGAGCACGACAGCCTTGAGAGCGAGGGTTTTCTTCAATTCGTCAACGATAGAACCGGCCTGGAATTCCTGGATGAAACCGACACAGGCATTGAGCAAGAGAAGACCGCAGATCACACCGAAATCGACCCAGTCCTCGAGACCGGCGGCAAGAATAGCGGCGGCCTATTAATTGTTACATTAACAAAATGTCTTGTTCTTGTTTAATTCGTGGAAAAGAAAAAAAGAAAAAAAGAAAAAAAAAGAAAAAAAGAAAAAAAAGAAAAAAAGAAAAAAAAAAAGAGAGAACTCACCTCCATGACGAACTGGATAGGCCCAACGAAATAACTTAAGAACTTCAGCACCAAGTTTTCCTTCTCCTCCTTCATCTGGTTGAGGCCGTACTTCTTGCGACGCACAAGGACCTCCGCATCCGTCAGACCCTGGCGCGTGTCGGTGTTGAGCAGCTCCTCAGGAACAGGACGGGCACCACCGGGCTCGCCGTCTTCCTCATCCTCCACGTCGATATGGCCGTCCTGGGACTCGAGCTCCTCGATGAGGGCGTCCATGTCCTCGTCTTCGTCGTCATCTTCGGGGACAGGGGGTTTCTTCTCGTTGGGGACGGGTTCCGTGGCTTTCTCGGAGAAGTCACCGGACGGGAAGTTGGTTCCCAGGTGGTTTGGCGGGATGCCATGGCCCTGGGGACCAGACGCGGTGGGATCCGACATTGTTGTTTTTGTCTTTCTTTTTTTTTTCGATTTGTTCTGCTGGTTTTTCCTTCTGATTTATTCTATAAAAGTCAGGCGCGCACGCCGATTGGGGGATAGAGACGGCGTCCTTCCTAGTTTTTTCTCCTGACTTCGAGAACCTTTGGGGTTAAGGATGAATTTAGTAGTCTTCCTCCTCTAGGAGGAGATTTGACGCGCTGGAATGGTCCTCAGAAGCCAGCGCAATGGCGGGGAGAAAAGAGGGGAGAGGGGAGAGGGGAGAGGGGAGAGAAGAAGAGAAGAGGAAGAGGAGAAGAGGAGGAGGAGGAGGAAGAAGAAGAAGAGGCAGAGCAGAGCAGAGCAGAAGAGAAGAGAAAAGAAAAAGAGAATTGGGAGACGAGGAGCGCTGGGCGAGGATAGATATAAGAAGGCGGAAGTTGAGAGAAGAGAGCAAGAATGGGAGACTGGGAGAATGGAAGAGAGCAGGCGAAAGAAGGCGGTTGGGTTGGATGGGATGGATGGATCGGGCGGTGGAGAGAGAGAGGAGAGAATAATAGACAGAGTGTGGGACGGAACGAATAATACGGAACGAGGAGCAGTACAGTACAGCGTAGAAGCATGTAACTTATGTATTTAAAACGAAAATGCAAAAATCACCCCAAATGACGGCTCCACAGGGTAATATTACCAATAATACCACTCCTGCCGTTATTTTCTATGAGCAATTTTCCTGCTGTCCGGTTCCGCCGTTCTGCAAAAATATCCTCTGGCAAAACACGGCAAAAACGGGATGCTGGCCCTTACCGTACCATCCATTACCACCCACCCACCCACCAACCGTTACAAATCATCACCCTCACCACCAACCACCAAACCAGGCCATAATGTATGTGTATGGAGTAAGGTTCCAAGGTTTGCCACCATTGGCTGCTGCTTCTTGCCATTGGTTAATGAAACCCTTCCAGCTTAGCTTTTAAGACAAAACCTTGAACGAAAAAATAAAAAATATGTTTTAGAAAAAAAGCAAATACGTTTGATACCAAGCCGCTCTCTCCCGCAGTACACGCCACCTTACAATACCATACCAGCTAATACCATTCTATACCCTGTGGCAGAAAGACTGTTGATGATTACTACACCTACCCTAGTCACGTGCCACCCCAACCTATTTAGTGTAACTCAGATCACACAACTGAAAATAGATATTTAATAAAAATATAATAATAAATAATAAATAATTATTAATTATTATTACTAAGTAATTATAACTTTTATAATTAATTACTTTTATTTATTATATATAAATATAAAATAAAATCTCTATATATTAATATTAATATAAAATATAAAAATATAAGATTTATAAATAGTTATTTTAAATATTTACAGCTTAGTATAAAATATACTACTATACTAGTAATTAAAAGCATTTATAAATAATATTAAAACTGATAAAAAATGATTATAACTTCTATCTATATAAATTATATAATTAAAACTCACTAGTTAGTTAACTCTGTTAATTAAATAAGTGATAAGAATAAAGATAAGAAAATATAAAGCTTTTCACTTAGTTAATTTTATAAGTTTGAGCTCAGCACTGATATTATTCTCAGATAAATATTATAGTCTCTAACTGTATATATCTATAATTGAAGAATAGCTTCTTTCAGCAATATTTATTGTATGTATGAATTGAATCATGATTAAATACATTCTGTACAATTCAGCGCAGAGCTTTGTTCTCTGCAATGCTGCGGGGGCGCAGGGCGGCGGGCAACGCAAGCCTTTGGAAGTTGCGACGACGCATCAATAATGCATCATGCTGTCCGCCCAACAACGACATTTGTGTGCCATCTTCGCCGCCAAGGTGCGAATAATATTGTCATTTCATCCCTTGGCGGAGCGGCTTGGCGAGGGTTCTGACGCTTGGCGCTGGTGCGGAGTGGAAAAAGCGGGATTGAAGAGGACCGGGGGCTTGGCGGGGGGGAGTGGGTGGGAGAGCAATTCCTTGGCTGTTTGGTTTTTGTGTTTGTTCTTGTGTTGCGCCGGGAATTGGTATAGTATTATTGGGTTATATTGTGCGATTGTGGGAGATGGTGAATTTTTGAGATGTGGGGTATTTGTTCAACACAGACAAGGGGGTGGGAAGGGGATATATAGAGGACGACCAACCGGCTAGCGGAGGATAGAATAATGGATGAATTAGACAATCGTGTTAAGTACAAAACTCCTTGTCAGGTTAGTTACCATTTGGTACTACGGAGACAGAAGATCCTGTTGTGGTTGACTTAAACTAACTTAAACTCCGATTAGGTTGCAAGCTATCTCTGCGGACGGGGTCGAGCCCTTGCTTGCTTGGGGGGTGATTTGCTCTGTTTTTCTGCCTGCAATATCCTTTCTGAAAATTGGTGCAACCCGTTTATCTTACTGATATCTATAATTGCCCGTAATTTATTAGCATGCAAGCGATGGATTTTTGCAAAGGGAATGGAGGGACACTGTTGGGTATGTATGTACATTGTACATTGTACAGTCAGTCCATATCTTCATTCTACTTGGCACTGGGGACGGGGACCACCGCTAACTTATATCCACAACGGGCCCTAGACACTGCACTGGCTAAGGCTGCGGGGACCTTGCATTGGATCGCGAGATGGGGTTACTGAGATAACTCGCTCTCTCCACAGCCAAGAAAGAGCTGGCAGCAGTATATGCCTTTTTACCTGTAAGTTATAACTATATATATATGAGGCATTGACAGGAAAACTCTGGCTTACTGATGCTCTCAACTCCGCGGTCTGTCTGTCTGTCGCTTCTCATTTGAATCAATAAATATCCCATCAAACAGACCAATCATGCATACTACGCGATGGTTAGTTAGTGGCAATACTCCCCGCTGTTGCAGGCCCGGCCCAAGCCAGCCCAATCTGACTCTGACAAGTCCGCGACGCCCAGCACCAAATGTGGAGAGAGAACACCCGCTCCAAAAACCTGGGGATATTCGAGAACCAGGAATTCACCATCGGAGAAACTGCACATACTTCAGGCTTTTGAAGATAAAAAGGATAGAAAATAATAATAGAAAAATAAACATGAGCTATGGTTGTCGACGCGATCAGGACCATCCTCAGGACCATCTTATTATCAGTTGTTGCATGTCTCTTCCTGCCCGTCTACCCTTGCTTCATCGTCAGCTTCGCTGCTGAGAAAGCCGCTGATGAGCGGAGGGCAGAGGGCCTCATGGAGCCCATCGTGGGCCTGGCTTCAACAAACCCAGAAGAGAGAAGAAAGCTTTCCATAACCCCCTCCATGCTTGAGGAGGGTCACTCCTCCAACGGCCGTGCGAACGGCGTCAATAACGTTCTCACGAACAACAGCACCTCGTTCGATGCGGCGCGCAGCAAGGACAGGCCGAACAGGGTCGGGAGACTATTATCCAAACTGCCATTTGCCAAACCTCCCCGAGTTCCTTTATTGCACTTACTGCAACAATTCACTCTCTACACACATGACTGAGAGTTGCGGCTTTCTCACGCTGCACAGCTCTCTCTGAGATGCTGGCACTGGTTTGCAACTCACACAGTCTCTCAGTTCAGCACATACTGTGTGCATGCAGTTCTGTGTGCTAGGGCCGTGTTGATCATTATGATCTGATATGATACTCACTTTTCACAGGTCATGTTTTATTTGAGAGGGGAGAGAGAGAAGATGTAACTGTGATTTTATTAAGAGAGAATGAATAATTAGTAATATTGAATATAATTTAATTCTTCTATATTTAAAATTTGATTAGTTTATACTCTTCAATTTGAGGGTTTCTAAGAGTGTTTTAATAGTTTTTATACCAGCTTGAACTTAGTGATGAGTTGAAGAAGAAGAGAAAGAGAGAAGAAAGAAATAAGAATAACTTATCTTTATAATATGAAAATAGAGAATCACTGCAATTATTCTCTCTAATAATTAGACTGGCCGCCGGGACCATGAATTTCACATTTGATCTCATTTGATCTGGTCCCATACATTTCTTGGCGTGAATCCCGCTGGGACTGGCTATCAAAAAACCATGTAAAGTGACTATATATCAGATTTTAAAATGGGACCATGACATGAAAAAAATGAGAAAGTGGTTTCATTTGGTTTCATTTAGTCCCATTCTTGGCATAAAGTTACTATTTTTAGACATTTTAAGGTTTTTTTTAGACTATTTTTAATTTTTTAAAAAGTAACACTTTTTGATAATGCTCAAATGAGATTTAAAGTCATTTAAAGCAATAAAAATAATTTAAATTGAGAAGTGAAAATCATGGTCTCATTTGAAAAATGTGACAAGAGTAGACAGTAAGTCTCACTGAGACAGTATGAGACTACTATTCAATGTTAAAACTGTGTAATGAAATCAGTCAAATTGATAATAAGTAGACTGGCCGCCGGGACCATGAATTTCATGTTTGGTCCCATTTGGTCTGGTCCCATACATTTCTTGGCGTGAATCCCGCTGGGACTGGCTATTAAAAAAACAGGTAAAGTGACTATATATCAGATCTTAAAATGAAACCATGACTTGAAAAAAATGAGAAAGTGGTCTCATTTGGTCCCATTTAGTCCCATTCTTGGCATAAAGTTACTATTTTTAGACATTTTAAGGTTTTTTTTAGACTATTTTTAATTTTTTAAAAAGTAACGCTTTTTGGTAACACTCAAATGAGATTTAAAGTCATTTAAAGCAATAAAAATAATTTAAATTGAGAAGTGGAAATCATGGTTTCATTTGGAAAATGAGACAAGAGTAGACAGTAAGTCCCACTGAGACAGTATGGAACTACTATCTAATGTTAAAACCGTGTAATGGGATCAGTCAAATTGGTAATGGGACTATCAAAAAATCTGGTCCTGGTCTCAGACACGGTCACACGGTCAGTCTAATAATGAGACTATCAAAAAATCTGGTTCTGGTCTCAGACACAGTCACACAGTCAGTCTACTAATAATAAAGATCTGTTTTCTGCATGTATCTCTGATATAGATTATATGATAACTGTATACAAAGAATATCAACACTGCATGTATTAAATAAAGATGATATTACTATGTAATACTGTAGCTGTTTCTGTATATCTCTGAAAGCTGTTAATATTTTCTTTATCTCTTTATATTTGATAAGTTAGTAATATATTTCAATGCACTCTTTCTTTCATCATTATTATTATTATCATCATTATTATTATCATTATCATTATCATTATTATTATTATTATTATTATCACTATCTTCATCATTATTATTATTATCATCATTATTATTATCATTATTATTATTATATTATTTCTGACTGTCTCTTCTGCCTTCACTTCTCTTCAACACTTACTGAAATCAATTATGTTATTTCTCTTCAAATATTCTGTAGTTCTGCAGACTATCAAGGCGTGTGAGCACTGTCACAGATTGAAGAGAGAGAGAAAGAAGGTATTTAAGTAAGAGAAGATAGATTGTAAGACATGTTATAATGTCTTAAAGAGACTCTGTAAGAAAGTAGAATGATAATGATTTTAAGTAACACTTCTGATAGATTTAGACTGAACTAAGTATAGAAATAATATGAATAGCACTGCTTATGAGAGATTAAAGAAGAAGACAGTGAAGAGTCTCATACAGTAGTAATAAAATCAGAAGAAGTTCTGAGAATGATTTGAGTTTAAAATAAAGAGAGAGAGAGAGAAGAAGAGTATTACTGTAAATAAACAGCAGCAGAAGAAGATTAAGAGAGTGTTAAAGTAAGAGATAAAGAAGTTAAAACTGATAAGTTTTTTATTTATTAAGAGATAATGATTTTTAATAACACTTCTGTTCTCTAATTGATTAGCAGAAGCTGATAGAGAAGAAGAGAATTAAGACCTTGTTCAGGTCTTGAATGCACTTCATGATTCAGAATATTGAGAAGATAGCTTTACTCTCTGAGCATGTCAATCTGCTTACTACTGAGATGAAACCTGAGACAGCAGATCAGAAAATGTGAGATTTTGAGACATAGATTAACCTGACTGAGAGAGAGCAGTAGAAATTCTTCTCTAAGAAGATAGTGAAGAGAGATTTTAAGATGATTATCACTTCAGATAAGAAGAAGAAGAAGAAGAAGAATAAGAAGTAAATTATAAAGAATGATAAGAAGAATGAGAAAGAGAAGAAGTAGATTTTTTTCTTTTTATATTAATTAGTTATAAGTTTAAGTTTTTAATTATTAATAATTAAAATTGATTTTGAGTTTTTAAAAATTATTGTACAAGTTGTAATCAAGTCAGAAATGATATATATATATATATATATTTAACTATCATGATTCACAAATCACTATAATGTATAAGTATCAACATTTTTTCAACATTGATATTTACAATATTAATATATTTTTAATAATATTATCTGATAATATAATTTGATAACACTCTCTTTTACAATATTAATATATTTCAAGAAATATGACAGAGATTAATTAAGATTGTTTATTTACTTTTATATATTAATAATATTCAATCTGAGTTAGTACTAAAATTATAACTAAGTTAAGAAACAAGATTATTTTCTCTTATATTAATTCTTCTTATACACATCAGTGATCAGTTATTGAAAATAAATTATTATCTTTCTTAAATTATTATCATGTCTTCTGAATTCACTTCTTTCACTTCTTTTACTTCTATTGAAGATTTATAAACTCTTCAAGAAATCACTGTGAATCACAAAGTCTACATTATTTACAATTCAACACAGAATACTCTCTTTCAATTATAATGAATAATCACTTCATTCTTCACATCTAATTCCAGGTCATGAAATTTATGAAAAACTTAACACAAATATCAAGATAAACTATGAAATAATTATCAACAGATTGTATTATAGATTACTGAAGAGTCATCTCTCTGCTATAATCACTGTAACTTCATTCAGAAACATTCATTATAAACTGATTATAACTCTGAAGAAATTTCTTGACATCTGAAGTCATCAGAATGCAGATAATAAAAGAAAAATAATTAGAAAATTACTACTGAGCTGATAAGTTACTCTATCAGATAATAATTTTTGATAACACTAACTTTCTAATTTGAAGAAAATTATGTGAAAATAATCATATATTAGTACTCTGATTTCACAACTCTTATCTGATAACTTCTATGAATAATTATTTTATATATATATATCTCTGAATCTTTCTCTTTGATTAATTGAAAACCTCAAATTCTGAACACTTCTTTAAATGCTTAATTCAAATCTTCATATTTCACATTGATTCTGTCTTCAGTTCAATCTTGAGATACACTACAAAGTTAATATACAATATCTAGAATCAGAGTTGAAGAATCATTGAAGAGTGTCTCTCACAGTGAATACATGAACTAGTACAAATAATCTTACATTTATGAGAGTTATATATTATTATATTGATAAGAACTGAACTTATTAAGAGATATTAATTGAATTTGAATCATTGATCAGTAGTCATACTGAAGATTATATAACAGAGGTATTAATAACTGTGATTAAAAATAACTATTGAGATATTAGTCTCAGTCTTCTTACAATTACAACTGATAATACTGTGAATAACTACACTATGATAAAGAGCTTGAAGTAAAAATTGACTTTGCATTTCTGAAATGATAAACAAGATTATATTCTCTGCATTACTCATGTGATTCAACTTATAATACAAACACTGATAAAGAATCTTAACATTGAGATAAAAAATAATGAGATGACTGATTCTTAGAATGAGAATGAGATGAAAGTGATTACTCAAGTAACTTTTACATTCACTTTGTAAAAGATAATGTTTTTTGACAACACTTTTTAATATTGTTTTTTGATAATGCTTTTTGATAACACTACTGTTAATTTTGAATAGATTGACTAATAATTTAAATATCACAGATTTAAAACATTGCTAATGTGATTTATATCTTCTCTAAATAATAATAACAATTTCATGATATTCAATAAACAAATAAATCAGTCATATTACTGAATATGATACAGAATGTTAGAACACAGTGAAGTTCAACATATGAGATAACTATTCAGACTCTTCAATTGCATCAGATGATTGATCATTGAGTGTAACACTCTGATCAGAAAAAGATTCAGATATTGAAACTTTCTGATATGAAGTGAACTCAGTTGAAATATGTAATTGATTTACTGTTTCAGTTTTATAAGATAACAAAGACAGTCTCAATCACTTATATATCAATGATGCAGTCAGTCTGATGAGTGTATAATAGTTTATTTACTTATCTTGAGAAGTAGTTGAATCACTTAAAAAGAAATTCAGTCTGAAATGATACTATAGCACAGGCTATTATTACTGTAAGAAATAAACTAGCATATTACTACAGCAAAACTGAACAATCTTTTACAGAGTATTATATTATAGCAGCTCTACTAGATTTCTTCTGTTGAGTTAATATCTACACTTCTCAAGATTGAATAGAGAAGAAATGAGACTTGTATATCAAATT